AAGTCAGAAATCACAAGTCCTGTGGGAACCTGGCAGAGAGGCCATGCAGGCTGAGCTAATGCCATCACTGGGAAAGGGGAAATGTGAATGGTCTCCTTCAGTCAGCTTGTGTAATCTTCCAGAAAGATCTGATTAGTTCAAGGAATGAAGTTGTAGCTGGTTTATATCTCTCCTTAGTAATAACAGCTTTACTAAACTTCAGATTTATCTTTGCCACAACAAAAAAACCAAACCAAACCACCCAACCAGCCAAACACAAAACAACAAAAAACCATACATACACACACTCCCCAAACTCTCTCTTTAAAAAATAATCCATTTCAGTAAAATACCTCCCCAAATCCCAACATCAGCAAGGTTTGTTTCAAGAGAACAATTTAAAAGCCACATTTACTCTTTAAATAAGTGGTCAAATACCACTGAAATTGTGGTACTTGCAAATAAATTTTAAATTTAACCTCTTGGATGCACATATGCCTGCCCCAGTAGTGCATGGTTACAGTGAAGATCATTATAGGGGAGACATTTTTGTCTGTATGCTACATATTACTTTCCAACTGCAGTATACAAAAAGAATTATTTGAACAATGAATTAAGTAATTACAGCTTGACAGAAAAGGCTTTGGAAAGTCAGTTTTTTATTTAAATGAGAATGGAATGTTTGGAAAAGATTATGAGGGATGACCTTCAAAACTACTCAAAGAATCCACCATCCCAATAATTTGCTCATTTGACTGGTAATGGAAACAACCATAGTTCCATTTCTTGCTCTGGTATAACATGCTCAGTCTGCATTTCTCTTTCTCAGGTGACTGCCTGGACCACCACTGTCGTGTTTGGGTATATTTGTGTTGATGTGCTTTTCTAGACCTTTTATAAAATATTGATGAAAATACCCACTGAATTACGTTTTCCCACAAATCATTTGCAAGGGAAGGTGAACCCAAAAGTTAAGAATAACCCATCATCCGAGAATGTACTCTGTTAACCAGTGATAACTGAGAGCTAAACACTACAACCTTTCCGAAAAATTTGTTCTTATTGAATCCTGAGATTTCACCTTGATAAGCACTAACTACCAGGCTACTATCTGTTTTGTTGCAAAGGAGGTATTTTGCTATCTTTTTTTTTTTTTCTGGACATTCCACTACTGGTGAAATTGAGAAAAGCTTGTTAGGAGCCTGTATCACTGGAATATTCCCTATCTGCTCCCGTGTGAGTGGCGGTTTTGCACAGAAATACGAATTTATTTTGTTACATTTAGCTGCTGAAAAAATGTTGGTGTACAAGATCTCGTGTGGCAATTCCTTCTGTGATTGTTCTATGGTAAGAGCAGTAAAGACAAGGCCATGACAGTGGGTCACTACGATAAAACTTTGCCCCAGTCACAGGCAAAAGTTTCAGCTGAACCATGTGCTCCGCATTTGCAAACACTATTAAAAACAGGTTTTATTAACAACAATAAAACCTCCCCAAAATTCAGAAAAAACCCCTCCTATTATAACTTTAAATAATTCAAGCAAATCGAACACTTTCCGGGATATATTCTGAGATAAGAATGTTTTCTAATTATCTGAGAAAGGAAGGGAAAAAAAAGGCTTAAATATTAAGGTAAACTTAGATAAAATCCTCCCAGTACATCAATGAGTAGCTGTCACTCTAAACACTGCACATTTAAGATCCCTACCTCAAAATAGAGATACTCTGCTGGTTTGTTACCGTGCAGCCCCACAACCAGACTATCTAGGACTAAATCTGAAAACAGAATTCAGGCACACTGTAGCATTTAATGTTTAGAAAATCCTTTGCCCTTGTAGTATTTGTAATCTTATTATGTTAAATTTAGCTGGTCGAATTCTGCTCTTACTTGTACTTCACATCTGTCAACTTAGAGTGTACAATGCATACATCAAGGCAGCATTTAGCTCAGCGCAGGGAGAGATTTGATATTTGAAATACATTTTATCTTTTGAAAGGCATACTTTTCCCAATAATAAATGTTGAAACAAAGTTCCCCAGGGTCATGCAATCTGCGTCCTTTCCCACTCAGCTGAAGATGATATTAAGGAGCTAAAATGAGAGAAATATTGTCATTTGGTTATGTAGTGTAACGTGCTTGAATTCATTCTTCTGACACTTTGGACACTTTGTTTAACGAGGAAATCAACACGAGCACACGGGCTCCGAGTACTTCCAGGCTGAGAGCTCGTGACAAGACTGAATTGTCAGCTGCAGGCTGTGTGTGCCACCAGGCTGACAAACACTCCCTGCACCACGGGCCGGGAGAGGACCCGGTGCCTGGTGAAGGCAGACCTTTAGCAGCTGGTAAAACAGTAGCACTGCAGGCAGCTGCTGGCCTTATTTGTCAGACAACAGCTGCAGACATCAAAGGGAATAAAGAGAAAGAGGAAGGTGGAAAGACTGAGGTAAAAAAGGAATTCAGTCTACACTGTTTTTACGAAGTAGATAAGTTACTTTTTAATTATATAAACATGTTCTAATATTACCAGTTTGCCTTTTATGAAGAAATATTAAAAATACTTCCAAATATACACATAGAGCACTAAGTCCTCAAGCAGCCTACTGGAGTCCCAGAGTTTAGAATTAGATGGTTGAGGCCAATATAATCCTTCCCATATACAAAGTTAGGGTCAAACTATATATAGTTTGGTCTTCTGAAACTGTTCCAAACACTTCATAGTTTTAACAGCATTAGTTTGATGTGTTCAATGCTATCAGTTGAAACACTGAGATTTTAAAATGAAATTTCACAGATAAAAACATTAGGATAGTTCTGTCAGCTATAATACTGGAATGCACATGCATACAACATTATATAATGTCAAATTCAAACAGACCATTAGAAAATATCAGTTGGTGTATTCAGTGGCTTGTTTTCCAACTTGATTCCCACAAGAATCTCAACAAAAAATTGTCAGTCCTATTTTTTCCACATTGTATTTTTTCATTTCTAATTGTTTCTAATTCTTCACAGAAGCACTTTTAATTCAGCTAGCCAGTATAATATAGTATACATAATATTTTGCAAGAGGTAGCTTCTGCAACTGCCTTCATACCCTTAGGCTTTGTGACTTGACGTCATAATAGTCTTGATTTATTAGAAGATAAACCTTTCTCAATGTTTTTTCCTTTTAAATAGTGAACTGTAAATAACCTACCCAATATGAAAAATGCTAAATAGCTCCTTTGAAATTCTAATGGAGATTGTCTACAGTTATATCACCCACTGCAGAATCCTTGCTGCTGGTGCTTTACCTGCATATGTGGAATGTATAGGAATGTAACCTGCACATGTGCACATATCTCTGAGTTGGTCTGCTGAGACACAGAAATTTGGGTTGGGTGCAGCCAGCACATTCCAAAACATAAAGAGAGATTATTTTGCTGTTTTGGGAGCTTATAGATTTTTACTTGAATATTCAAGGTAAATATACATATAATATACATATAATTCAACCAACAGTGTCTTTGTCTTTTTCCTTATTGACAAATATTGAATTATTTCAGTTCTGTGGTTTTGCTGGTCCAAGCTTCCCAACTGTCAAATCATCACTGAGGTAACCTTGCTGCAAAGTTTAGCTCCAGTCAGTCTTCATTCTCTATCAGCCACAGCATTTTCTGCCTCTGCTTACACGTTGGTGTGTAAATGTCTTGGCACAGCTTGATGTCAGCAGCCAAGCCCAGATGGAGAGAGGGCTGACTGGGCCTTGATCCCTGTGTTTAGACCTCTAGCTCTGACCATATTAACTCCTAGACAACCACGCCTTCCTAATTGCTCCACTGTTTTCCCTTCCTTACAGGCACCATCTCTAGCACGTTCTGCTACTGAGCAATCTCAGCTCCATCGGCCTTTATTTATAAGTTATGATCAAAGCTTGTAGGGCTCAGAAGCTCTTTTCTCCCTGACAGCCTTAACCAAATCACTTTTCCAGACCTGCCATTCCCCAGAACCCTGCCAGGCTTTTCTATCACCAACCCACTATGTCCAGAATGCAGTTAAATACTTATCACTTAAAATTTTAAATGCTAATTGGTTAGTAATGAAAATTTCAATTGATTGGAGATTAAACTTTAACTGCTAAGAGACTGGCAGAGTTCTAGTCCATCATAATAATTAAAATTCACTCATATAACATTTTTAAATGTCCTTAGTATGAAAACAATTCTATAATCAAGTGTGTGAAGGCCTAGATACGAGGTGGTTGTTTCAAGTTTTTCCAGGATTGAACACGAAAACATGTGACTGAATTAGCAATTGCTAATTTGGGATTAAGTAAAATCTCAATGTTCATCTCAGAAATGTCTAAATTATTAAAAATCATATCCCCCATTCATTTATTTCACCTGCTTCTATTCTCAGGTAAATTGATCCCTCTCAAAAAAGTATTTCTCAAAAGAAAGATACTCAGTTTGCTCCTAACCTGGTGTTCAGGATGGAGACTTGTGTTCTCACTTTGATAGGTTTACTATTGATTGCCAAAGCTACTGTGTAACCTGAGGAACTTTTCTCACCTTCTAAAACAGTATTCTGATCTAAATTTTCACAAATTCAGAGGAAATACTGCCAGAAATGAAGCAGCTAATTTCCTGTATATTCTTCTGCTCTTTTACTGCAGGTGTTAACGGAGCTGAGTAGAGATGTTTAATACAATGTTACTTGTGAGATACTGGATTGTACAGGATAAGGAAAAGGAAAAAAAAGGCAAACTGAATTCCTAACATATCATTAACTAATCAACTAGAAATTGGATTGAACGGAATTCCTCTTTCAAGTTTTTAGAAACTGCAGAAGAAACATCATGAAAACATGCAAGGCAAAGCACCAAGTCTATATTCCTTAGCATCTCTTAATTGTATTTAGTCCGTGTTCAAAATCCCAACCCATTTCTTTAAGATCTCTTTCATGTCACAAGAGTTTTGCAGAGGGTTTGGACAGTGTTCCCCAAACATAGAACAAGCATGGTTTCTTTTGCTTTTACCTTCAGGGCCACAATATGAGAAGCTTCTGGCACTCTGATGTTCTGTCACTTTTTAATGCAAACTCTGGAAGTTCACGGACACAACGCTGCACAATCTGAGGAAGATAAATCACAGTTACTTCAAGCCAGCTGACAGCAGTTTAAGCAGCTGCAATCATCAACCACCAAGGGAGTTTCTTCTTTTATCTTACTAAATGCAAAAGTATACCAGGAACTGGTAATATCACTGGACTATCAGGAGTCCTGCTTTTACATAAATATCAGCAAGCGGTAAGTAAATTCTGTTGACGAAATGTAATAAAACAAAGACGGTTTCAAATATGACCGTTCCCTGATGCATTCTGCAGCCCCGTCTTACTCACTTATTGCATGCTGCTGAGATTATAAGGTTTGCTTTTATCTGTCAGAAATCAATATTTCAAACATCGGATAAAAGAGGAAATTGAACTGGGAATAGGCTGAAGTGCTGTAAAAACTACAAAGCACAATTATCAAAAAGCACTTAAAGTACTTAATAGGACACACATATAAAAATGCTCAAATTAATGTCAGGGAACTATAATGAGAACTTTTTCTATGCTTTTTGATCCAAATGCAATGTAATTCGAGTGCAGCCTGATCAGTCAATACAGTTTTCAATTTATATGAAACCCTAAGGATTTCTAGCAATCCATTTGCTAGAACTGAACCATTACATATGATTGGTTAATATTTCAATTTATTGAAAATACATTATTTTGTGTAAAGTGTTTAAGTTGTTGAGGTTTAATCATTACAAACAGTTATGATAAAAATAGATCTTTGGATAAACAAAGACCCCACAGTCAAGCTTTTAATAAATACTAGTATAACTAGAAAATTGGATTTTAAAAGGAATAGACATAAGGAAAAACTGCAGATATGGGGTGGTGAGATAAGAAGGAAATGTTGTATAGAACAGATCTTTATCAGCACACATTAAGCTGAGAAAGAACCTCTTTGAAAAATGTTGGAAACCATAGTTATTTTGTGCAAAAAAACCCCACCCTCACTATTAACTTTAGTACATTCCCCTTAGATTTATACATTCATTTATCATCTTTAATGCTATTGAGCTGGAGGTCTTTACAAAACTATGCTAGATCAGAAATCACTGTAAATGAGCGTGTACATATCTGTATGCACATAGCAGCATCCATGGAAAACAAATAAAACATGACTTTAGAAAATTTGATATGAAAATTTGCTATGAAATATGAAGAGCTGCAAAACAGGAGGGGTTATAGCTGTGATTTGAGCAACCAAGATGCACCTTCACTAAATGGCTGTGTCAAACTGTACCACTCTCTCCTAACCTATGCCCCACATTTTTAATAAGGAACAAAAAGGAACTCTTGGAAATCTTTCTTTGTGAAAAGAAATGTGTTTCTTAACATTTATACTTTACTTTTACACTTCAACCACAACACTTCTTTCACATGAAGGAACTTTAGCTTAATCACAATTAAAATGTGCTTCTTATTGGAACTACACCAAAATCCCTGAACTATGGATCAGACTTTTATTTCCACTAGCAGATAACCTGTTTCATTAGCCAAACACCTTCCCACCACCTTTCCTCATTATAGTTTTGAGCTTCATCCAGTACAACCTCTTAGTTAATACATGTACTTCCTCTGTCATCCAGGCTAAGTCTTCTGTTACTTCTTCCATTTTCAAGATGCAAAATTGAATTTCAGTCCCTAGAATCCTAATTTGGGTCATAATTCACCACTTTAAATTCATCCTCCCTATCCTTTACATTTTTTCTTATATCTTTTCTTTTCCTGCTTATCTCCTTATTCATCTGTCTCACTCCCACCCCCCAATATATCTACTTTCTGAATACTTGCTTTCCCTTTAATAATTGTAAGAAATTCCATGAGCTGCTAGGATTAAGTGGGGAAGTAAATGTAAAAAAAAAGTAATATTACACACAAACTACTATTTGTACCTTGTGTTTAACAGCAATTTAAACACATAAACAAAGAACAAAGTCATGCAAAAATAACGTGTATGTATACACAAAAAAGAAACTGAACAGAAAGCCAGAAATGTATCCATGAGTATATGGTTTGAAATATAACATATGTTTGCTATCTCCCAATGTGGCATTTATATTTTCACAGTTGCATATTATATAAATCATGTAACTGCTGGTTACTCAGGAAGCTGGATAAAGCCAAAACAAAATGGACCAAACCCTGATATGCAACACAGAAGTTTTGTTTGAATAATAGAAATAAACATTGAGAGTTGGGACAAGTGTATCTGTATCATTTCAGACAGCTGTTGTTTAACCTGCTCCTGCTGATTTCCAAAGACAGAGACTTCTAAATTTCCCAGGCTATATATTTCAGTGCTTTATTATCTTACCATTATAAAAGTTGGGTTGTTTTGTGGGTTTTCTTAAGTCCAATCTAAATCTTTGCTACTATAATTGTAGTCCTACTTCTTGGCCTATTTCATGTGATGAAGAAGAGGTTATAGTATTCCTTTTTGCAACAGATTTGACTATGTAAACACAGCCATCACACAGCTTCTTTCCAGTACACAGGTTCTGTGAATGGTACAATCAGGCTCTGATCTAGAAAGTTAATGACTTATGCAATTCTCCAAGTCAAGTAGCACAATAAACAGCCAAAATCTGTCTTCTAATAATTCTGGTCTTGTGTATGCTAAGCAAAATGTAATGATTTAATTGAGGGAACTGGGAAAGAAATCCCCTAAAAACAGAGTTTTCACATGATAAAACAATGTTGACAAGACTAAAAATAAACAGATTGCTTCAGCTGGATTCTGTATTCACTTGAATGGTGTCTTGAGTTTTTGGATTTCCTCAACCAAGAGTGGTTTCCTAAATCAACAGAATCATCACATAAAATACAACCTTTTCCAAATAGTACATATTTCCAAATAAAAAAGTAATAAAAATATTTTGTTTTAAAAGACAGTCTGAGTAGAAAACATACTATGATGCGGTAAGGCAATTGTAGTTATGGCACTCATAATTGCATAATGCACTTCACAGAAGCTTCTTCTATTGCACCTTATTGTATTTTTTCCTTCAATTATTAAATTCAGAGGCTTAACATCGAAAGAAAATGCACTTGTCTTTACATGCACTTGAATTGTTACTGCCATTTAGAACTAATCAATGTTTTCTTTAGTACCATAATAGCTTATTTGCAAAGCACCTCTTTAAGAAAATTTACATGGTATTCTGGAAGTAAACATGTTTCACATTCTAAGAAAAACTCTCAATAAAGAGAAAGAGGGCTTCGTTCTCATCTCAAAGTTCAGTGCAACTAAAGTGACTTCAAGAGCTTAAAAAATTGTGCACAAAGGGAGTTGCTACCAGATTATACCCCTCTGTTCATAAATAATACACGGAAAAACCGTGCATTGTACACAAACCTTACATCCCTAGAGAAGCCCAGGAAATTAATTTTCAAGAGCTCAGCATATAAATATATGCTTTCATTGATGCTAAGAGGAAAACAAACATTTTAAATCTTATTATTAACCTATGTTTAAATACACATTCCTGAAAAACTTTATATCACTCCTGACTTGGATGTTCAACTACATAAAACTCATAGGACACCAAGGTCTCACTGAGTGGTGGAAAGCCCAAATAACTCCAGTAAAGTCAGTATATGCACTCTGAGTGCTGTTTGACACAAACAGGAATGTTCACACCACTTTCCTCTAGGAATATAAGGGAGGTTTTTAAATTAGTCTCCGTAGACTCCTTCAGAAGGAGGTCAGAGAAACAAAATTGAGTAATATGAGTACACCTAATGCCTCAGTATCTGCAGTTACTTAACAAAGAGAAGTTTTAATGAAGGATAAACAAAGTTTGCACAAAACTCACAGGCAGGATTTATGATTTCTAATGAAACATGTAAACCTCCACTGCTTTAATAAGTAGATCAACTGCAGTTCAAGCTATGTCTGTTCTTAAACACATGCAAGCCCACTGATTCTAGTAGGGTAGCAAGCCTATCACTGGGATGAAAGTTATAAAAACCAAGCTAATAGGGAATATCATAACTGAACATTTTTAAATAGAAATGATATTAAAATGCTTATGCTCAGAACTGAGAACTTGAAACACTTTGCCCCCTGTACCTTGTTTGGCTTTACTCTGATACCTGTCTGTTGTAGCTCTGCAGAACATTTGGTTCATTTGGGTGACACAGCCTTTTGCAGAACAACAGTTCTGTCTCAGTGACACCTTCTGCTTATGCTTCCAGAGTCTCTACCCCTGCTTTGAGCTACGCATTGTTCTCAGTTGAACATTACTAAAAATAGTAGTGGCAGCAGGTGATTTGCTTTCCAATTTTAGTTATGCAGAAGATGCAGTGAGGGGCTGCTCTTCAAAGCTTTGTAGCTTTGGAAATACATCTTAAAATTACACAAGAAGCTGAGTGCCTTAACCAGCAGAGCTGCAGCATAAACTGGGTAACTGCATGTATGGCTAAGTACAAACAGCAGTAGCAGAAGGTACAGGCCTTGTGGGCAAACAGTGGTATTCCCTTCCCCCTCTCCATACAGCATATTTTTAAAAATATGACTCTATTGCAAATATAATTAGAAAAATGGATGAATTTTAAAGCAAGGATGCAGACTTTAAACAACAAGTTATTCACCTGACCAGACAGTTCACAGAGAGAATTTCTTACCTCTGAAAATGTGGGGTTCAAAAATACATGTATTTGAAGATGAGCCTAGAAAGAAGAAACAGACATTAAAAATTTGCAAAGTTGCAATTAATAAAATAAGCCGAGTTGAGGAACACAGAGGACCAAGCTTTGTCAAAAGGAAGAAACAGAATTATAATTGAAAGCACTGGATGCAGGGACTGCCACAAAGTAATGCAACAACCTATGCCAAAGCATTTGCCACCAATTTATTTGCTGCTGAAGACTGAACAGACTGAAGTCTTGATCCTTTGCTAAATTACATGTTTCAGAATTAATCCTGTAGCCTGCAGCAGGTAGTAGATGCTTTAAAGGGTGACTTAGAGCAGACAGTCACCTATTACTGCTCATTATTTAATAGGACTACTTTACTGCAGTTGCCTCCGTCATTGGATAATTTCTCTTACAGGTTTGTATTTTCACAGATCTTTTCCTGGGTTTCAGACCTGCTTCCACAGTATTACATTGGCTGCAGTTGTCCCAGTGCATAACAAGCAGCAGCTGGGAGAAATTTCCTGTACAATTTGTCCTAGATGGGCTTTACCAAAAGCATGATTTTTTTTCTTGTCATCTAGTTATTGTGAGATTGCAGCTGACAAATTTATGTATATGTTTTCAATATCCTTCACTGTCAGTTGTGTGCAGCACAAAAGGAAAATATGCAGCTTATAACCAAAAAAAGCTGTTAAATTATATAACTAATTAGTATGTGATGAATTAGATAATTCTTTTTGCAAAGTTAAAACCACGTAAAAGTTGCAATGTAGGGCAATAGAGACTAGCAGAAAGGACAGAGATGACAAATCTTCTGTGTATTTGCTTATCTAGAATAGCCAAGAAATTACAACATCAAGTGATCCTACAAATCTGAGGCAAAGCCTCATGCAATTAAAATTCACTTAATTTTTGCTGAGCTTCATTTCTTCTTTAATAAGATCAGAAATTTTTTCTTTTTCAGTGCTTCTCTGTTTCTGTGAAAGTGATTTTCATTGGTTCATCTCTGTGTTTTTAGAGAAATATGCACAGAACAGCAAGGGCAAAGCTTATCCATTTCAGCAAATTCAAGGAACTCCACTGAATTCAGTAGAGTTGTTTCAGATTTTATTTTTCACCCTAACATTTTGGTTCATATTCTTCTACAGCATCAAAAATCTGAAAATCAGTAGCCACGTTATACATAGGACTATTTCCTGCAGAAGGTTTAAATTGTATTTTTCAGTATACTTGTATCCATGAGTTTGGAATCTATTACTTTTATCATCTGGAATGCACAGCCAATATTTTGCATTTTCAATCTGGAAAACAATTTAATAGGGACCAGCAGGATAATTTTATATTTTATCAGTTTATTGTATCTAACTACTAATGATATGTAGCATCTATCACATATTGCATGTCCTCTGCCATTATAGAAATCAATTCATCCCCTGATTTCCTTTTATTAACCAAGAATATCTTTCCAGCTGGTCTTTAATTAAATATTTCGTTAAGGATCATTAAGGAATTATAAAAACTCTTCACAGTTCTCACTGTTAATCATAAGCACTTCATTCACAAGGGACTATAAATCTGAAATTTGCCTTCCGGTTTTACTACAAACCTTTTTTAGAATAGTATTGAAAAAATTACCAAAACTACCCAACAAAACCTCCTTCATTTTGAAAAGAGAATTTTCCAATTAAATTGACATAAAATATAAAATAACCAAGAATTTACTTAGAACGTTTAAATAAAGTGATTGAAAAATGAATATCAGGATTTTTCCATTCTTCTTCATTTGAGCTAAAATAAAGGCAGCTCAAAATCATAGATTATTCCCTCTCTTTAAACAAGGTGGTGAGACAGTGTTGGGTAGATGCACAGTAGTAATGGATTATGTAGATGTTTCTCTCCTGGGTCACTGTTATGAATCTGATCCAAGACAGCAATGACGAAATGTCAGTGTCATTTTATGGCTTTTAGCATGAAATCCTGACCCTACAAGGTCAATGGCAAAACATCAGTAGTGCCAGGATTTTCACCTTTTGAATCTCTAGGGTGCAAAAAGAATTAAAGTCTGACTCAGCATGCATTGACTTTAATGGGAGTTATACTAAGTTCAAGGTGCAGATTTTTAAAAGTCCTTAGATGCTGCTTTGCTCATGCTTTAATAATAGCTGGATCCTTCAGATGATTCAAACACTTAAAACCATAGCATTAAAATTATAAACTTTTATCCTCAAAGTTAAATGTTCTGATGACACACATTCTCTTGCTCCACTGTCTGGATTACTCTGCCTCACTAGGCTGAGCACCGGATAAGGGCTTCTTTCACCACATTTATTCACTTCTCTTGCTTCTTTCTCTGAAAGCAAAATGCTTGTCCCAGATGACACAGGGTTCAAAACCTCTTGGATCACCATGTTTGTGGCCCCCAAGAAATCTGGCATAGGTTGTGGCTTCTGCTCTGCATTCTGTCTAATCAACTTACAGTCAATTCCCACAGTGCTCACTGCTACAAAATGTGAGGTGTCTGTAGTAGAGGAATAGTAAGACTTTGTGTCAAAATGACTAAATTAACAAAGCAGGAGAAGTCACTGAACATGCCTTCTGGAGGGATTAATTCAAACTAAATCCTTATCAATTCCCTGAAAACAGTCAGAAGTGGCTTGTTATTTTATTTAATTTTCTTTGATAGTGGTTGTTTTGTAGGAGGGACATAACAAGCCATTTTAAACCTACCTCCCAAGTCTTGCCATTTTGCCTGCTTGAACAGGTTTAAATCTGAAATGGAAATAAGAATAGAATCCAAATGAGCTGTCAAATTCTACGTGTTTATTCCAAACAGAAACAAATTTCCAATTTTAAATTATTTGTTCATGCCCCCTCAAAATTCTAAGGTACACAAATACAAAAATTATGTCTTGCTGTAACATATGCTTTCCAGACATATTTCACTTGTACAAACGCACAGTTCAGGCATGTGTTCCTAAAAGTATTTAGCTATGCTGAAAACCACTCAGGAATTAAACTGGATAAAAGCATGCTGAAGAAGTTGTTGGAGGTTTAATTACCTTTTCTCTTTTTTCTCTTTAGTGGGAGTTCTGAATTCTGGAGGAGTAAAACTCCAGTCTCTACTGTATTGAAATGATATTTTTTTAGCACTCCAATCATTGTCTCTACTTGACTAAGACATTTCTGTGCTAAAGCAGGTGCATTTACTTTTCAAGTATTATTTTACTAATCAATTGAAAAATTACCTCCATGAATGACAGAAGTGCAGACCTTTGGAGTATTTCATTAAAAGGAGCAAACATTAATTACAAATCCAGCCCAACCTTTGCAGACATAAATTATGGGACGGATCTATTTTCTCCATGCTTAATTGCAAGCAGTGACTAGCTCTTTAAATTATTATCTCCAAGGCATGAATGAAATTAGAATGGATTTGATGATATTCTCAAGGCTTATTTGTATCTAAATAACTTGGCCATGCACTATCTGGAGATATAAGAAAAATTAGGTGAAACACCTTTGAGCCTTTAAACTGTGGCTGGTTTACCATGAACGAATTGGGAATTGGAAAATGGAATTAGAACCTTAAAGTCTTTGCAGACAAGGGAGGTCTAGTTACAGGTTTAGCAACAGGATAGTTAATATTGTCCAAGTATTTTTCTTCTAATCTAAATTCTAAAAATTTTAGGGTTTTGTAACTTTCTGAAGCTTTCACATTTCAGACAGAATTTTCCAGGCAGTCTTTCCTGAAAAGTAATATTTCCATTCCAAGCAAAATACCTGTTTTTCTAGTGAAATAAAACACTCTTCCTACAGAATTAGGAAGGTTGAAAATTTTGATTTTTTTAATAGCCACAGTGCTGACATGTTTGTGATAATATCAAAATCTGGCAGGGAAATAAATGAGTAAAGTGCCCTTAGTTGGTCCATTGAAAACTGATTTTGAATTAGGCTTGTTTGTTGACACAAATTAGAATTTCAAAGACATTCAACAATGGCCAAATTTTCAAGTCATCTTTTCTCCTGATGATTACATCCTTTTACAGCATATTCTCTACTTGCTATTTTGACTTTTTTAAATACTGAGAATGAGCAAAATTTTTTCTTTGTTTCCATTAGCATAGTCCAAAAACTCAAATGAGCAGTTAGGCCGTTTTTCAAACTACTGTTTTTGAGTCATTTAAGTCGGAAACATAGAAAATAAATTTCCCAAATTTCAAAACGTGCTTTACTAAATCTCTTTCTCTACTGACCTCTACTTTACCTATATCAGTTTTATAACTCCATCTGTTTTCTAAGGGAGAAATATTGAATAATTACTATTGATGACTGAATTACTTAAATTATTATCATACAGTAAAATGCCCTTTCAAGTTCTAAATAAATTTTTGTTCAAAGATGATAAGGAGAAGGAGCAGAACAAAATTAAAAATTGAACATACATAAAGCTTAAATGAAAGCAAAACTATTTGAAAAATCTCGAGTCAAAATTGATCTTGAAGTTTCTTAGTACCTAAGATATGGAGAACCTCTAGTCCTTCTCTGCTTAAAATAATTTAAAAATTCATTCCCACAGGAAATAAATAGCACTGTATATATGCAGAGAACAGAAGGTGCAGTTTACTATCATAACAAGTGACAGAGAATGAATTTTTTTTTTAATACAGTAATTAAGACAGAAATGAATATTTTTGTAAAATGTGTTTAAAGATCTAGATTTTGCATTGGAAACAGAAAGCCTTCTTCTATAAGAACCACACAGGGTGTGAACAAATGAGTCCCACAAGGCTCCATGGGGACTGCCCGACCCATGTTTTTACCACCCTTCTACTCCAGAAGTTAATAATTTGACATGGCATACTTTAAAAAACAAATAAATAAAATAGATAATGGCTTGCTTAGAGTTCAATTTACTTGTGTCATGATACAGTAAATACCAAGCTGAGTTCTCACACTATTAATCATTAACCTGGGAAAGGGCATTAGCTCAAAACACATTCCTTCAACTATTCATGTTTCATGAATACATTGGTAAATATTTTAACAGAAATTTCAAATATGCTGAAGACATAAACAAGTTCAAGTCCCCCCAACAGCCAAACTCCTTTCACCTTTTAACTTTTGGATAGAAAGTTACCATCCATCTGTTGCCAGAACAGCTTCTGAAAGCAGAAAAACAGAAGCTCTGCAGAGTTGGGTTGTTCGAGGTACAGGTCATGCAAGACACCATGCAAAGAACAGGGCAGGGGACCTACAAGAGGAAAATTCTTCTGATATGCTACTGATATTTTTTGAAATTTTCTAAGGTGACAGACTCCTCATGCCCATAGCAAAATGTTTCTGATACTGAGTTGAAGACTCTGTAACAGCATTAGAAAGTGTCTGGGAAAAAAATATATTCTGCTGAAACATTAGAAATTGGTTCAAAAAATTTGAAAATACTTGGGTTCAGCACAGAGAATACTTCATGGGCTTTCATAGCTTGCTTAGGAGAGGGAAGGAAGAGTGAGAAAACCTATTTGTTTGGAATTTGGAAGTATTTATGTTCCCTTTCTTCTCCACAGTATTTCACCTTAATTTAAAAGTGAGGAGTTAAAGATTGATCTGGAGCTTGGGAAAAGCATTCAAGCAGAGGACCACTGGGGACAGAGTGAACCCTTTAACCATATTGCTTGAGAAAGGCAGTGCTTGGCAATATATTTCTGGGAATGATAATATCATAGGTAACCTATTTGCTCTGGAATCTAAACCAGAGCATCACATTTAAACCACCTGCATCTAAAATGAAGGTAAATATATTAAGAGGATCTCTCCACTTACACAGGAGTGGAATGTATGATTTTAAGAGATCTGGGCAAATTCCTCAGACTTAATAATATACCAGTCTATTCATGGAACATCGTGTCCTTTATATTTCTTTAGAAAGAAAAACATCACTAACAATTATTGGCTTTAACACCTTGCAGCTTATATATACTTTCTCACATAAGGAAGAAACACCTTAAGCACAGTGTGAATCTAACATGAATATAATTTATAAAATGTAGAAATGTTGAAGCAGAAAAAATAGGAAATTAGTTAAATGGGAGTTTTAAAAATGAAGATACTTTCTTCATCAAGGGCTATGGAAAACATATGACTGTGATAGAGTACATACCTTTAATCAACAGCTACTTTTTTTCCCACAGAATACAGAATTGCAGGCAGAACTTGGCTTCGAGTTGCAAAAATTATGAATGGAAATACTGAGAAATCATGATTTTTATCTAAATATTAAACACTATTAAACAGACCTATTAATGCCTGTTTTATGGTCAAAATGTAGGCAATTGCTTAGTCAGACATTTATATGCACCAAAACCACATGCATTAATTATAGTTAAAAAGAGTGTGAGCAAAGACTGCTCTGAGTCAGATCCCAAGTCACAGCACTTGCAGTACAGCTGCTCTGGCCCACGGGTGTCACAGCCTTTCTGTTGTGGGGTACAGCATCTCCCAGGGGGGCTGTGCCACACCGAGGGGTGCCAGGCACAGAGACCCCATGTGGGAGGACAACACAGGCACCAATAAGCGGTTCAAGTGCAGCTCCTGCATCAGAACTCCAACATGAGTCCAACTGACTGCAGGACCCAGGAGCATTTTTTCCAGACTGGTGCAAACACAGACTGCACCCCAAGTTCACAGATGGACAAGATCACAGGGCACATCAGTGCACCTGCAGCTGGGTTTCAGTGCACACAAGCAAGAGACACACAAAGCTGACCAGGGTGTGAATGTGTATCATACTGGGGACCACAAAATACAGTGGTATAATGGCAACTTATGGCATAGCTCTCACTCTGCACTTTTCCACTCTTTCTCCTTCTCAGTCCAGCAAATTACAAAATAACAAGTATCAATACCAGCTCCATCCAAATGAAAGTGTATGGAACAGGGAAAAGCATCATCTGTTCAGTGATTCTGATTGACTCCTTGCTGTGCCACCAGTTCACCTTGTCATATTCTAACCTGGTTTGTTCTTGAGAATAAATATTCTTGAAATCTGACATGGGGGAACAAATTATTTTTATTATATCCACCAGTATTAACTATTTAAATACATCACCTGTAAACTGTGAACTACCTTGTGGCACATTGTGTAATTACTGTGGATTGAACTCTTGAAGGATAAAGACCCAGAACTGTTCAACTAATAGTTCTTTCTCTGTCCTTCTCTGACATAGGAATATGAATAACAATTTATTTTGGCCAAAACAAGCAATTCCAGGTCAATTTATGTCCATAATGGGAGATTTGCCATGACAAACAAGAAGGGGATATAGCTACATGATTTGGTGCATTCTAGTCAAAAGTGGAATACCTTAAATCAAAAGTTTCAGTAGGCTTAAATGTTCCTCCTAACCCCTCTATTAAATCTTCATAACAGTGTGACAAGCTAGAATTCGTTATCTTCTAGTTTATTAAAAAGAGAGTGACCACTAGGAAAAATAATATTGGGAAATAAAATTTACCTTGGATTAGTTTCATGTAAACATAAAAAACCAGCTTCTCAGAACCCACATGAAAAACATAATGTAGTTAATATTAAATACCATGATTATGCAACCTATTACTTTTACAGTTTGTGCTCCCGTGTCCTTGATTTCATCCCTGTTTTGCTTATGATTAATGAATTACTCACCTTCAGTACTCTCTCATTTATTTCATACCTCATTATGAATTTGGAAAGGTCAATTTGTTATTTGAAAACAGCAAAACATGCATGGAAGTTAAACAGTGTTCAAAAATGCAAAGGACATTTTTATAAATAAATTGCTATCTTATATCCCTTTTTAAGTTTGCATTTTTAACTGCTTTTGATATAATTTTGAAGAGTCTACATAAATTCTTCCCATAGAATACCAGACAGAGTTTCTCCATGTGTTTTATAGGAACATCAGGAGTGTCAGTGCACATGCACAAACACACAAATCCTAGAATGACACCTTCTGTACTTCACTGTCTATTTTAGCTTGTCAAGATCTTATGCCATAATTTTCCATGGTTTCTCATTTGTTTTGCTTGAAATTATTTAATCAGGGTTTGATACTGTATAATTTATGTTATGTGATTATACTGCTAGCATTCAGGTAGGGACAAAATCAAGGCAAGAAAAATTGAGGGAAGTTCTGTGCATATTAAGTTCACAATCGCTGAAGTAAACCCCACTAAATTATTTATACTGAAAACAAAGCTTCATACCAACAGTTCACAGTATTACTTTTTTTTGTTATTGCCATATCCTTTTTCAGTTTTGATAATTGTTTTCGTCTATGGAATTTGGTAGTTGCACAATACTTTCTTGAGCGGCAAAAAAAAATTGGCTAACGTGACATCAGTGCTAAATCCCATTCTGTGGAGCACTAAAAGCCACAAACCAAAGAGTCCCTCTTTTGTCTCAGCATTCTGGAGGTAAATTCCGAAATCGTTTGGGCATCACTGTCAGAAAATGACAGTTACCAACACACCTGTGATACACTGATAGCTGGGAGAGTGGTTTATGGTATCTAGAGAAGCTTAGGGTAACTCCATTTAACAGTCACTATCATAGCTGGGAAGTTGCCCTGGGGAACCTGGTATTGGCACAGAAATCTTTTGAACAGAGGGCACTTAAAGCCACCCACAGCACTCACCTCTACAGCTATGCAAAGCCAGAGTCTGAGCTGCCTGCACAGCAATGGCCTGTGAGCCTGTTTATGGACTGGGCTACACTCCAGGCTGCACACACATGCCCAGGCTACCTTTAAACTGGACACTTAGGTGACTTCTGGCACTGCAGCTGGAGCTGCACATACTTCAGTGTGGGCTAATGCAGTCCCTCCAGAAGATTGTGCAGTCTTGTCTTTTCTCATCACTTTGGCAATCTTGTCCACACAAACAAGAGGAGCTTAAAGTCCTACAACAGAGACTTTACTGTTTACAGGCATTGCCTCTGAAGCCCCAGGGACAGCTGCACCCAGCTCCTTCTGCAGAAGATAATCTGTGTTATGCCTTACTTTTTCGGTTTCTGGCTCACAATGTGTAAGCAGCAGCACCTGCATCTACTATTTTTGCCCTGCTTTATTTGCAGCTGAATTATGGCTGTGAGGTTTGTTCAGGTGAGGTTTATTCAGCCTGGATGCTGTGGCTACATTTGACTGAGAGCAGACCAGAATCCATGGACACTGTGAACAGACATGTGAAAGTCAAGCCCAACCAATTGTACACTTCTTCACTCTGTGCAACATGCATAGCTACTTACAGTGTCAAGTTCAGTAGCTTAAATATTGTGTCATCATTAAAATAATATCACTGAGCATGGTTATTAACTGCAGGTTGACCTTCAGCTTTGGCTTTGTTAACATTGTAGATTTATGTTTCCCCCCAGTTCCTTCAAAACTCTTTGTACAGTGGATTATTAAACTATAACTAAACATAACTAAACAGGTTAATATATGCTTGGAACAATTCCAAATCTATGATCTTTTCTTTGAATTTTATAAGCATGTTCATTAGAGGCCTTTACTCTTCCTTCAATTCCAGTGAAAATTCTACAAGAATAATTGTTTTAAATCACATCCCACCCATGATACAGTCTAAGATCGGTGATCGGGTTGTCCTTCAAATTAATAAAATCAAATACCCATCCCAATACTCTACCCTTATTTCTGCCAAGATCTTATTAGTTTTCACTCTGAATAAAGAAGATAACATCTTTACATATGGCAAGTTTAAGAGGTAATAATAAATGGTAAATCTGGCATGAGTTATGAAGTATGTGCAAAAAGAAAAAGAGAGAAAATGGAAACCTCCCCCCCCAAAACTTCCTGAAACAATAATAAAAATGGAGTTTGTGATTGTGTAGAAACCAGAGAAACTACACAAAGCAGGTAGAATATATTATTACAATGTTTGAGTATTATCTACAGTATAGAATGATCAAAACAAAAACATATATGCTGTAGAACTGAAGTTATGTACTGATGGATTCACCTCTAAGGATTTAATCTCTAGTATGTGGCTTTCCATATAAGCAATGAAAGCATTTAGTCTCCTTGCCTTACTAGAATGAGAGTCTACTTCTCAAGGCAAATGCTTAGAGATAACTGAAATCAATCTGAAACTTAGCAGGTGTTACTTCTGTTACTTGAAGTGCAACTATTTCAAAACATCATTTATTCTTTTTTATTCTAAAAAATCCAAGACGTATCTTCAGTAACTATCCAGTCTTCATTTTGACTCAAAATGACCCATTACTCCATTATGCAGACATTTCATTTACATTGCAGACCACTATTTATGGACACTTACCAGGGCATCAGGGCAGCCCAAGCAGAACATTCATGATACAGACTCTGAGAACACAACAGTGAAAAATAGCATGAACATCATAACTGCAAGAAATTATAGAAGGCCAGATTCTGCCCTAAAGCTCTATGAGGCAAATTCACCAGCAGTGTGACTTCACATCCAAGCTTAAAATCTGAATGTGTAAATGACACCTTTGGCACTCTCAGCTCACAGACACCTGCAAACTGTGGGGGTTTAACCTCCTGTTCAGATGATTGCCTTCGCTTTCACTGCTTTCTGAAGACTGACTTACAACAAGTGAGGATGCAGAGTGAAAAAGGGAGGTCTTGGGGGAAGGCAAAGTACTTGCATGTTTAGCACATTTTATAGACAGGTCTGGAATATAGGATGTGGATGTTGCAAGAGGTAATGAGGTGACTGGCAGCAAAGAACTCTGAGCTGGAGCAAATGGGAAGGTAAAACAGAATCGAAATAGTGAACCATCTGCTTTCTAATGAAAACAGCTCTACTTGTCAGCAACATCCAGAAAAAATGATTTCTTAGTTGGAGTGTATAACCAAGAGAAGTAGCTTTTTTGCTATATGAGGTAATACACTCAAATGATGTATGACTTAGAAAATAGTGTGGGTTAATGATCTTCAGCTGGATCAGGGAGTAAAACAAAGTAATTTCATAATACAGAACATGATGGATTAAATCATGTTAATACTGGGTATATACATTAAAGAAAATGATCTTTCTGGCATACTAAATGGCAAAATAAAAAGCACTTTTAGTAAGCTATATGATTAATTAGTCTGCCCTTTTATTTATGTACCATGATAAAGTAAAATGTACTTTTCTGGTTACCTCCCAGGCAATTATTCTAAAAGTTATATTGAATACACCAGCTTCATTGTATTGCACCAGTCCATCAGGAGCTGCAAGTAGGTCCCTGTCTTTGTTTTAAGTCAGTGGTTTTCTCTATTCTCTCCCTTTCCTGTCCTCCTTTCTAGAGGTTATTGGGGTTTTGTGTTGTATGTTTTTAACTCACAGAAACAGGAGATTGAACATGATATGTTGATATATTAAAATATGTAAACATTGATTTGTCTTAGTACTGTTAATTACAGAGAATGCAAAAAATTGCAGTGAGTGAAAAGTTATAGCTCACATGTAATTCAGGAAAATATTTAAATATGAGAATGTAAATGCTCCAGAGTTCATTCAGATTCTGAGCTGTTTCATTTCCTGCCTTCACAATTTCGCTGTGTATCTTGCAAATTTCCACCAAAGGTTCAATCACATCCAAAATCTTTTAGAAAGAAGCTGGAAATGCATTTTCAAAGGAGATTTCAGATTAAAGTAAAAGTCTCAAATTTCAGAAAAAAAAATGTTACCTACAGAGGTAGAAATATTATTTTTGAGAACTGTTTGTCTTCCAATCTCATTATACATACTTGTCAGAAATTATGCCAATGATGTAATACACAGAAGTTTCCTCTAGTACCAAATTGACATGGAAGGAAGAAAAAGTATTATTAGCACTGAGTTGACTTCTTTCTTAAAATCTTACAAGCCTGTAGAAGAAACTGCTAAAATGCAGGAGTTAATGAAAAGACCATTTCAATTATATTTTTTTTTAAAAAAGTATTTAGCAATGTAGGTGTAGGTGTAGGTTTTGTATTTTCCTAGGGATTCACTTAGTTCTTCTTCAGACTCAAATGCCTTAGATGAATGTACTAAACAACACAGAAAATCTGAAAGACCAGACTTGGACACTTTTCTAATGTTAAATTCAGAATTCAGGTGGGAAGTGCTTTTGACACAGTAAAACATGTTTTCGTAAGGGGCCCACGACTTACATGGACTTATTCTGTTCTGCTGTCCCACACACTTGCACAGAAAAGAGAATCCTGATTCTTAAAGCCCCAGGCTAGAGGAGATGACTTTTAAAAAAGAATCAGTTAAGAATTACCCTTTTTTTTTTTTTTTGGTACACTAGAGCCAGACATTTGTCTACTACAACAAGTGTTTGGAATCTCTGCATGAAATCCTCACAATGTTCTAATTCTGGATTATCTCACACAGAGTCCACCTGCGGATGCAGAGTCAGTATTTGCTGACTAATCTTTTGTTTGCAACATCACTAATGCTTCTTTTGACTCTGGGGTTTTTGCTTTCTCCACTGCTGGAGAAATCACAGTCAACATAAATCCACATATTTTCAATATTTATTCCACCTGTGCATTTTGCATTTGTGTGCCAGCAAAATAACTGCTCTGTCATCAGGCTCTACAAAGGCACTTTGGTATTTCAGTGGCTGTGAGTGCAGAGAAGGTGTTCTTTCCTCCTCCCATGCTGTCCTGTGTTACATTCTCATCACCTTTCCAGGTGTACTGTGCAGTTTCCAGGCCTCTCAGATTTCTGTTCCCTGTAGAAAAAAGCACATGAATTTTCCTCTTGTCAAAAGCACCTTATATAATCCTTTTTTATGATCAACGCTCCCAAAAATTATCCTTTTCCAAATGTTCTTCCTTATTCTAAGGAGGATCATAAAGGCATTAACCAGGAAGACTTTTGCATGCTACTCAGCAGTATCACATCTATACTACTTTTTTTAAGGGAGCTTTATTTCACCAATTTATTCTTATATAGCCTGTAGCTGTTAATGATTGTTTATGTATTTATAAGCAGCTTTTCAGCCTAGAAATACTGGATGGATTCTGCCTAGAAATTCCAAATAGATACTGAAGTTCATAAATAGAAAAAACCCGGACACCTATTTACAACTAGTAAATAAGCTTTAAAGTGGATTTTTTTAAGGCATATGAATTATTAGTTCTCAGTTAGACTGTTGTGAGAATATAGAAAATGGGTGACATGTATCACAGAAAATGTGTATAAGCACAGCTTCTTCAAAGTGTTGACCTAAAATAACATTAAATTGTTGCTACACTTTAAAGTTTGTAGGATATAACACTGTATAGAAGTGTGACTTTAAAATTAGTGTTTGCAAGTGTCTGTGACATAGGTGAGGGGTTTTAGCAAGCAGCTAGTTTTAAACTTAAAATTACATTAATTTATTTGCTGCAATAAAATTATGTAGATTAGTTATTGTTCAAACTGTTTTGCTACATGAAAGAACAGCTTTTATATTACTAAAAAAACCCCAAAACCCTAGAAAAATGAGTAAAGGTTAGTGCTCCTGTACTCCACTACTGTTAGCAAGACTCAACCAGAAATGCAAGATATGTATAAAGAGTAATTTTGTCTCATTAAATGACAACACTAGTGGTTCCTCTTCATCTCCTTAATTCATTTCTTATAGTTTTTCTTGTCACATCCACTTGTTTTATGGCTTACTAACTTGCAAGTTATGGTCGTAATTTATGGTCAAAATTGAGTGGTAGCAAATCACAGAATATTTTCATTGATTACCCTAAATTGTCTAATCTCCTGTATGTTTTTAGGACTTGATTGGGTGGTATTTACTGATTGCCTTCATCTAATTTAAAAATCAATCAATAGCAACAATGAGAGGTGGTGGATAAATCGAGTCTAATGCAGCATAACTGCAGCAAATATCCATCAAAGGCTCATTCTCAATCAAATTTGTGGGAAGTTTTAATACATAAACCAAAATGTCTAAAAGCCTTACTTTCAGAGCACATAATTTTAAAATTGTGCTCTGCATCTTATTGCTCTTATGCTGTCTATTTAGGGCAGTTTTCCACTGCTAAAATGAACATATTTCACTACAATAAAACTGTAGCAAACAAGAAAAAAAAAATATCATCAGCTTTGGTTTAAAGGCACTTTGTTCCATCTTCCTCAATATCATCTGTATATAATAATGAAAATTAACATAACATCAGCTTTTCATATAAACTGTGCGCATTTTCTCCGAGATAAACATTCTAATAAGTGTCTTGATGGGAAATGGTTTTTTTACATTGAGAAATCAATTCATTAATGTCGTTCCTTACATTATTCTTTTTTAAAAGCATCTTTAGTTCCCCAAGTTTTGGATGGCAAATATGAAAGAAGCTGTCTGGAAGACAGTATTCTAATTTCTTGACACTATCAGGGCAAAGACACCTCATGCAGCAAAAAAGGACAGAGAGTAAATGCAAACCTTCTTTTGTTTTCCAAGGGATGCCAGTACAAACATAAAATGCCTTCTTTCTAATTTGTCACAAGCAAAATTTGTTTCTTTTTTAAGTAGGCATGGACCTCCAGTTTACATTAACTCAAGGTAAGTTTTCTACAGGCATGCAAAGGTAAACAGTTACATACATTGAGGTCAGAAGGATGCCATCATTTACAGCTGGATGAGGAGCTAGTTCAATAGCCTGGAAAAACAGGTTAAAACTGGCCTCTGTTCGTGAAAGAACCCTACCTATACTCAGAAACAGGTACTTAATGTCAGAATTTGCTCAGTAAATATTCTGTCTAGATAGCTAAGGAGATTCAGGTTTTATTTCTTTAAACATCCGACATATGATGTTAGACTTGTTAGGCAATAGGAGCTCCTGTTTTGTGACTCCAGGTGTAATACAAAACCAATGAAGGAGAGAGACTTGGAGGTCTGGGGATTTTCTGCAATTTTGCAGTCATTTGATTTTGAGTCAAGGGTGCTTATTAATAGATCAACATTCTTTTTTACTGTATTTAAATTCAAGCATATAAGACAATAAGTATATCCAGAGAACAAACTGTGAAGATAGGACATAAGAACTAAAAGACATCTATTAAGCAGAACTTTGAAAGAGAAAACACATATCCTTTTCCTAGATATTAAAAAAGATAAGGGTTGTCGATTAACCAGAACCAAAATGCTGAAGTTGCACACATCAAAGCCTGGGAATTCTTTGCTCTGTGTTAACTTTACAGCTGACCACTCTCTGAGACAAGTATCACCACCTGTGATTCTTAATTTTTGCACAATCCAGATGAAAAGACAGAGAGAACCTGTATCATCAGGATATCACAGTCATATTTTCTTTCCAGTGTTGAACATGTCCCATATTTGTAAGGATTGTTCTTACTAATGGTATTTTCA